ATTTGAAACAAGGCACGCTTCCTTTTTCTTCTCACTCACTACTTGTGTAAACTGGTCTAGCAGATTTCAATTTGTACACCGCGTAAAGGACCATCTTTCTTTCTTTTTTGGTTTGTTTTTAAATTGCTAGACCACTGTATGCAGTAAAGTATTGAATGGTTGTTGCTATAGCCTGGTGAATCTGGCATCCGTATGTTTAATGGCAGCTTCAAGCATATGCATCTGATATTTTTTGTAACTTTGTCTCAAAGACCCAGACTTGTTTATTCCTTCAAGTCTGCCATCCTTAAGGTTAAGTGTTCAGACAGAAGATTGTATTACATTGCTGTGAATCATAGCATAGCATTTTATAGCTTAGGCAATCCTCAACAATAAGATTCTCCTCTAGAAAAGTAAGATAGACTTCAAGTCTCAGTGGTGAATAAGTCTTTCATTAAATGCAACGTCTCAAAAATGTGTCTCTCTTGATCTCCTTAAGAGTGCCCCTAACTTGGGCTACATCAGCTCCTGATTTAATTTTTTCAATATGTTCCAAATAGGTGACAGACAAATAACTTTTGATCACTGCCTTCAGTATTCTGTCCTCACTAGTAAACCAGCATACATTGGGGAGACCTCAAAAATAGCTCTCAGTAACCAGTAAATGCTTGAAGTTGCCATCATTCTTTGGGACTGTGACCAGGTGCCCGGATGGGCTGCATGGAGAATACCATACTCAGGGCAGACTGCAAGAAATAGGGCAGACAATCCCCAAAACTGGTTCTTTATTCTATAATTAGATTAATCAAGCCAGTAACAAAAGAAATTCTGCAGTACCACACTAGTTAATCTGAAGCCAAACAGTTCCCTTTAGGCATTCCAGCCCTTGGTGCCCATCTGGGCAAACAGGTCAAATAGTGATAGGTTACTGAAAACCCTATTCACCATACTTAGAGTGCTACCTAGGGTGACCAGATGTCCCGATTTTATAGGGACAGTCCCGATTTTGGGGTCTTTTTCTTATATAGGCTCCTATTACCTCCCACCCCCATCCCGACTTTTCACATTTGCTGTCTGGTCACCCTAGTGCTACCAGTCCCAAAGGATCAGACGCTTACCCTCAGGTCAATATATATTTCAGATATTACTCAAATATCACTCTGTCAGCCAATCCTTAGTAAACTAACTAAAGATTTAAGAAAAGAAGAGAATTATTAAATGGTTAAGGAATCATATACATACAAGTAATTTTCAGTGTTCTTAGATCAGGATCGTAGCAGTGATGTTATATCTGCTGGCTTGTAAAAGTCTCTCTGGAACCATCTCAAAAGGTCAGAATCCAAATGCTGCTTAGATGTAAAGTCTGATAGAGAATCTTTCCATACATTTTCCCAGGTATTCCAAATAACTACTTGGAAGATCTCAATCCTATAGGTTAAACTTTCCTTGTTTAAAGTTCAGCAGACTAAAGATGAAAGGATCAGGCCCCAGGTTTCACTTTTATAGCTGAAGTGGGCTGTTCAGTGTTTTGAGCACAGCATGTGACTGAGGATTCTTCTTTGTTGAGCACACACTGTCCCATCACTTGGAAGTTAACATTCTATTTACTATGCATACACAGGTAATCGAGTTACACTGATTAACATAAGGCAACTGTTGGTTATACATTATATCATGGATAGATAAGCTGAAGACGATATATGCAATATTGTTAATTTCATGCAGCGTCTCATCTTTGATCTTAAGGTTGACTGAAAACAGTTGCATACATAATATAAAGGCAATTAAGACATGAAGAGGAATTAGCATCTACAAGCTAATTTGGATACATTGTTAAACATCTAATAGTATACAGGTAAACAAAGAATAATATACTTAGTATTTACCCTTGGTTTCTATTGCTACAAATGAATCGGTTAATGATTGCTGGTCTAGTACATCTCTTTGAAATTTACATACAAGTGAATTGTCCTGATACAATTGTAATGCCTCTTGTTAAGTGATTATGGGTCAGACACAGGTTAGCTGGGTTGCCAGAGTCATAGAGATTTAAATGTCTTTCAGCACAAACTCAAATTTTTCAAGATAGGATTTTTTTATATAGAAGATCTAGAATATAAAGCACAGGTTGCTGCTTTGCATGGCATCAACTACAACACGAGCATCTTGTCTAAGCATGACCAGCACTATGTACAATTTTGCTATCTAAATTCAAACTGAGGGCTTGTCTATGCAGAAAATTATTCTAGAATAAAATAGGTTGTGAATTTAATCAGGAATACTATTCCTGATTCACTCCAGGATAAGAGCATCCAAATGGGGAGTGAATCAGGAATAGTATTCCAGATTAAATATTTCAGAATAGCTATTCCAGTTCACTTCCCTGTTTACACAAAATCTAACCAGTTTTGATTTGATATCCACAACTCTCACAAAGCTATTATTCCCCACATGATAACACCAGCTTTCCCTGATTCTGTTTTTATTTCCAGATGGTACACCAGCAAAGAGAGTACATGGTTTCCTATCTTCCACAAATCTGATGCACGCTGATTTAGCTCAGATACAAATTCATCATTGGATCCATCAGCAAGCACAGTAATACATCTTGCTTTCTGTATGCATTTCTGAGACACCTCCCTCAGAGACTTTGAAATTGCCCATATAAAGTCTTCTTCAGCATGGATATTAACGTAATTTGATACAACATTAAAGTAGTTTTTGGTCTGCAAATGTAGAGCATTTCAAAATCGCAGAGACCTCTCTAGACTTAGCAAAGGGGTGCTTTTTCAATCAAGTCAGCTTACAAAGTGAATTGAAAACCCCACTTGCCACCAATGTAGACACAGTTTAAGTGGAGTTTCAAGCAAGTTAAGCTAGCTCAACTGAGCTAACTTTATTGCAGCCTTCCACATTTTTTTTTTTAAACACTAGTTTACACATAAGGCCCAAGGCCCGGTGTACCGAAGAGCAAAATGGGTAGGTTTTTCCAATCACATTAGTTAAATCAAGTTAGCTTAACACAAGTGAAAAGCCCTCCAATGCCTATTAATGTGCAGGCTAATATGTTTTAATCCATCAGCTATAAAAGGTCCAGCTAACATGACTTCAAATGTGTTATCCTATGTGTTTTAACAAGGGCCAAGCTTTAATCACATTAAACTAACACAGTTGAAACACACTTTTTTCCAATCAGGACAGGGCCTAAGACTGTAACTGCATTTAACAATTGTGACAGTTGTGTCATATATGTGACAAACTTTTGCATCTCCTTGTATTGCATTTTACAGAACAAACTAGTAACAGGAACTTTTTGTGGATAAAGGGCCACATTTTTTATTTTAGTACTTTTAAATCTGTGCTGGAGAATTCATGTACATGTAGGGATCAATTCTAAAAGGTCTTGTAAGAGGACTATGTTTCTTCTAAGCTTCTGATGCTTTCTACAAATTACACAAAACACTTAATCTTCCTGACACAAAACCCATGGACAGTTTTTCATGAATTCTGGAATGGGTGTCTATGTTTCGCACATTCCATATTCTTCTGAGCCATGTATTTTATACTTTCTTGACCAGCAACTTCAGTATTATCCCATGCTGATATAGGTTGATGGGCTGGTTTGAGGGGTGTGTGTGTGTGTTAACCAGAAAACTCAGTAGAGTCAGTTCATGTGTTCCAGACATTTTTCAAGTCTTATTTTAATCAACCAAGTCTGCTTATACATAGTTTTAAAATGTGTGTTTAAAATAGTGCACAAGTCAAGTGATTTGCAAGTTAGCTGCTGCTGACAGAGCCAGGCACTTTAAATTTGTATTTGCACTGTTGCCAACTCATGCGATTTTACTGCAAGTCTTGCAATATTTGGTGTTTTTCATAAAACCCCCGCTGTGGCAATCAAGAGATTTCATGAGAATCTTAGCTTTCATATTTTTTTAAAAAAGGTTTTTAACCTTTGTAGAAAAGCTTGAAAACATGACCTGAAAGGCTCAAAAACCAGAAGGCAAAAACCAAGAACCAAACATTTAAAAAAAAATGCTCATGTTTCTTCAATACTTGAGGTTGGCAATACAATATTTGTGAGTATGTAAAAATATGAGAGGCCATCTCCCACTTTAAAAATCAAATCAAATGTGTTTCACAGGAACAACAACTAATATAGCTCTTTTTACCATAGAGCTTACTCTGGCTTGGTTAGCATATTAAACTATCTCTTGCCTATGTGGTGGAGAAAATCGCCTTTGAACTAGCTACAGATTTGTTTGCACGCTTTATTTACTCTCTTCAGATCAAATCAAACTGTCCTTCTGGTAGGCTTGCCTGGATCTAAGGCAGGGGTCACAGACTACTATGGTCTGAGTGAAAAAATTAATTTGCCTTTCTGGCAAAGAGAACTTTGAACAGCCTGAGTAAAACTGGAAACTCAAGACTCAATCTTCCCTGTCCTCAAGTTACCACAGGCGGCTGATTAAAGCGCTAGCGGACAATGCATTCAAACTGAGGGTCAGCCTCAGGCATTCCTCTCAGTGCACTTCTCCCTGGGTCTACACTCTTCTCTCAAAGTATTACTTGCATGGCTGACATCAGCTAGAACCAACCCTCTAACTGGCAGCTCAGTTATACTGTTCTGCTCAGCCTCTTCTCCTTTCCCCCTACACCCGAAGCAGGTCTTTGCTTCACTCCCATTCACCCCCTCCATCCACCCTCCCTTCTGACTGGCAGCTCAGTGCTGCTCTCCTGACGACACTCAGCCTGTTCCTCCCCGTTCATCCACGCACAGTAGGAAGGAAACCTGACACTGTTTTTACTAGCACAGGCTCGTGGGGCAAGAGGGTTTTCCCAGCCCAGTGTGATCTGTGGTTTACAGCCAGGACCCCTGGGTTCTCTTGCAGCCTCTGACCCACTATGTGACCCGCCCCGTCTCTGAGCCTCAGTCGAGGCCCCCGAGCAATGGGGGCGGGGCTGGGACACCGAGTAGCGCTCGCTTGTCACCGCACCAGCGAGCGACTCCACGTACTAACCTGACCAGGTCGGTCATGCAGGATCCCACCACCACCACCTCAGCCGGGCCAGCAGCTGCCATAGCCCCAGAGGCGCAGGGACAGGCCCTAAGACACTGCGCTAGGCTCAGCGGCGGGGCTTCCGTCCTGTGAACTTTGACCCCCTGCTGCCTGCGCAGCCACTTCCGGAGTTTCGCTGGTTGCCAACGGGGGTCCTTCGGCCAGCCCAGGGTTGCTCCTCTCAAATGCCTGATTGCAGTGCCCGCCCCCCCATTGTCTCGTTCCTTCCCCGCCCTATGGGTCACCCCCTCCACTCTCTCCTCTCCCTCTTGGCTGCGGCCTCCGCTACTGGGAGATTGGGACATTCATTCAGGCATGTGTGGAGTCCCCTACAGTTACGTGCCCCCCCACCCCCGTTCTCCCGGTAACTGCGGACCGGGAGCGCGCACGCCGCAGACAGGGGGCGCGCCCGTTAGATTGTGCAGGGATAAGGCGCGTGCCCGCGGCCGATGCTAAGGCTTTTTCTACTGCCCCGTAGTGACTGCAGGTACCTAGAGACAGCGCTGGGGAGGGGCCAGAGGGAGCAGCGCCCCCAGCAGGCTAGGGTGGGGGTGGGGAACGGGGTAATGGGGTGGGTCTCCTCCCGTGTCTCTCTCGCCCTGGGGGGCGTGGCGTAGATATGGAGGGGAACTAGGGGAGGGGCTGCCCCATGCAGTATGAGGGGCCCTGCTATAGGTTATGCTTCCCCCATCCCCCACCCAACGTGGGTGCAGAAGGGGTCCCAACATATTGGATGCCTCTCCCCACCGTTGGCACGAGGGATCCTGCTACAAGGCCTCTCCCCATGGCGGTGGTACGAGGGGTCCCAGCGTGGAATAGGTTTGCCACTGGACTGCAGTGGTTCCTGCGGTGGGGTGCATTGGTCTAATCTCAGTGTGGCCTGTGGTGGTGGTGATGAGTCTCCAGATTCAACATTTGAGCCTGAAGAGGTGCCTGGTCTTGTTGTCATGTGTATTGCAGTAGCACCTAGGAGACCCAGACATTTACCAGAATCCCACTGTGCTAGGTGCTGTACAAACACTAAGCAAAAAGATAGTCCCTGCCTCAAAGAGTTTACACTCTAACCTGCAGCCTTGCTCAAAGCAATTCTATTAGACTGATGCATTGCCCCCTGTGTAAGTGACAGGTTCCAGCATCCATCCTGATAAGAAAACAGATGGCTGCTACAGTGCTCTGTTAAAATAGGAGTTTGTGAAGCAATATCCTGATCCGAGTGGCTTTGTCTCGGATCAGGATGGAGCATTGAATGTGGAAGACTTGTTATCTCTACAGTCCCCACACTTATGTTAAAGTTAAGGGCATCACCAACCTGCCAGTGCCCCATTTTATGTTTGCTAGTATCATCCTCAGGCTTTCAACAGATCATCAATGCAACTCTTATTTAGGAAACCCTGGTATAGTGTTTTTTCTCCTGCAGACCTTGTAAAAGAAGGTGGGGAGAGGTAACATAGTGGTCTGTACCATATTGCTTATCAGAAGACCCCATTGTGGGACAATGTGAACTTTAAAATGTGTGTTATAAAAGATCCTTGGAATGAAGGACTTTCCTGCAAAGGAAAGTTTGGTGGCAATTATAGAATCAGGAATTAGATGGAAAGGATCCTTTAAGTAATTTCAAATCCATTCCCTCTGCCAGTTTAGAATTGTTTCCTCCAGTATATTCTTTACTGCTTTCATATGGATTAATTTATGTAATATCCATAATGCTGCCATCCAGGTTGAAGGGAAGGGCATAGCCTATATTAGGATCCCTCATGCTGCCTGATGCAGTTCCCACTCATAATTTCCTCAGATCTAGAGAGTCATTGTTAAGAGTAAAAAGCATATGTTAGTTTTACCTGTGTTACTAGTAACAGATTATTAAAACTGCAAGGACTAAAAGACGTTAATTTACTTTTTTTATTTGTGCTTTTTGTTTTTTCAAGTATTTTGTTTTAGGTAGTGAAACTTTGACTGGTCACTTTTGCTCTCTGGTCACTTTCACTTCACTTTGGTTAACTCAGTACTGTTGTGTTTTGTTTCCAGTACTGAGAAGAAGGATTAAATTGGGGGAAAACATTTCAGTCTGAATTAAAATTAAAAAAAAAATTCTGACAGATTGTTAACATATTGTATTTTGTAAAACCTCTGTTTACAAAACTTGAATGTTATTTGTAAATTTAGTTGATAGTATCTCTTTAAGCATTGTGTGATGTTGATAAAGAGAGCAATAACTCACTTGTGTAGCGTGGAAGTAATATGGGTATAAAATACATGATGTGCTGTACCTCATAATCAGAGATGGATGAGGAGAATGAGTAGGCGCTGTTAGCCCTTTATTCTGACGGTATCCTTGTGTTTTGTGACTCAAAGATAAAGGGCCTGATCCTGCAAGGTACAGCTTCAAGTGACTGAAGATTATGTTGAATCAGAAAAAAGATCACCCATATAATACAAAGTCAAAACTGAACTCACTTCCTTTTTTATGCAGAAAGGTGAAAGGGTCACCCCCCTCACATTGTACAGGAAATGGGTGAAAACTACTATCTTCCTCAACACTTACGTCCGGGTGTTCCTATGTGTCTTTCAAAGAGGCTATGGGGACGTAGTCCATGACAATCCATCCAAGCTGAGCTGAAAACAATCACAGATATTTGTTGCTGTGCCTTCTGGAAATGCCATGAACAATAGCGTACTGGCAACCTTATGATTTTCAGTTGAGATAATTATGTAAGATAGACACTAATGTAATTGTCTCTTGGTTGCCATAAAGTGCTAGGCCTTTGCTTGAATATAATGTTTAAAAAGTGCTAATTTAGGCTCTGTTTCTTGAAGATTTATATTTTCACGTGAATGACTTTCATAAAAGCTAAATTTTTAAATCAGATACTTCACACTGCTACCCATTACAGGGAGTTATCAATTTGTAGGAATTAGCCATTAGTCGCCTACTAATGCTTGTAATTGGGATTTGATTCAAGTTAAAACAAGAGAAAAAACATGATATTGTGAAGGTTTTACTGCAGGGAACTAATTATTCTCTTTATGGAACACTTGATAATAGCCACAGTCCATACACAGCATTATTGTTGTCTTTGTCTTGTTCTCTGGAAGAAAGATATCATAGTAACAGCAGTTACAAGAAGCAGCGTTGATAAGAGAAGGAAAAATAGCATAAATGAAAGTGGAGAGAAGGGTGAAATTTCAAATCCCCCAGATCTTAGGCTTATTCTTTGTGTATTTGGTTTCTGGAGATGCTTTTGTATATATGAACTCTACTGGGTTGTACATAGAGGATGTGAGATATTGTCCAGACTAACTGAAGGCTGTGTTGCAGTAAGAGGGTAAATAGAGCATCAGTTGACCTTTTCAAACACATAAAAAGCTATGATCTAGAAGCAGAGTACAGAATTTGGTTTCTGTACTCTGCTGTGCCAGTGACTCTGCATGATCTTGAGTAAATCATTCAGGGTTAAATTTTCAGAAGCACCTAAATGGCCAAGGCACCTAAGTCCCATTGACTTTTAATTGAACCTAAGTTCCCATGTCACGTAGGCACTTCTGAAAATTTTACCCGTATGTCTTTGCGCTTCAGTTTCCCCATCTTTAAAATGGGAATAGTGATACCTTTGTAAAAGTGCAATGAGATCTTTGGATGATAAACATTATATTATTTGTTACTAATAAGTAAATCTGATATGTTGAGTGAAGTCTTTCCAAATAGGTATTTAGTGAAGAAATAGAATTGCAGAAGTGATGCCAGTCCTGGTTGTACCAGCTGTAGTAGTGAAATTAATCTATTTTCTGATGTTTTGTTCTCATTAGAAATTACACGTGAAGATCTACCTAGGGGGCCAAATCCGATTCCATTGAAGTTAATAACAAAATTCCCATTGACTTCAGTGGGGCCAGGATTTGTCACTTATGGATTTTTAATTTGCAAGGGCTGTAAGCATTGCTATGTTTTTAGGAGTCAGGCTGGTCCATTTCAGTTGATTTTGCGTACTGATAGGGATTGGATCTGTAGTAAAAGCAGAGAGCCAGGAAAGATTCAATTATTTTGTTTAGATTCAATGAGTAGCCTTCCTGATCTGACCACTTGCCCATGATTATTGAGTTAGGAGGAGAGAACTGCCTTATCATACTCTGCTCATTTCTCTTATAAACCTGTATGTAGTTCAGTCTGTTTATAATTACGGAACATTCCTGAACATTTGAGTTCATCACTGTGTTAGAATAATAGTTACCTAACACATCAAATTTATTGCTTTTTAAAAAAAACCTTTGGTATCCCAGTGCTTCCTTTGAGTTACTTACATGGCATGGGAATTTGCACCAGGTAATTTTCTTGATTTTCCCCATGCAGAGCTCAGTACAGCAGGAAAGAAGGACAAGTTAAAATGTCTCCTGAAGTTGCTTTGAACAGAATTTCGCCGGCACTCTCTCCTTTCATTTCCAATGTGGTCAGAAATGGAAAAGTAGGATTGGATGCTACTAACTGTCTAAGAATTACAGACCTGAAATCAGGGTAAGTATTTGAATAATGTATTTGAGAAGAAGGCCATATATTTTTATTTAGAGTGCTGATTTTACTGTGTCAGTATGTATTTTAATGTATATGGAACGGAGAGATTAACTAGATTTCTTTTGTCCTCCACTACCATTCTCTAGTATTTGTGACTTTATCTGTTGTGCTATTGGTAATAGCTTTCTTTCTAAAACATTTTCATCTTGATAATATGATCCTTAAGCAGTAAACCCAGAGCTGTGAAGATTTTGTCATTTGCTTGCTTTCTCACTTTAACCTGGATATTGACTGCTCTAGATTAAGATAAACTTGAATAGCCTTGCTTCTGGCCATGAACATGACCTCTCCATGCTGTAAGGGAGGAAGAATAGCTCTTCCTTCCTGACTGATTTCTCTCAAGAGGTAAGTAAGATACATTTGTAATATGTGCCAATTATCAGCAGGGCCATCCATTTGCGTAGGGTTTACTAAATTACTAGATTCATATTTGCTTTTAATTTTTATTATTATGTGTACTGGGGGAACTCTAGAGGTGTACATGGCATTTTACTGAGATAGTAAAGAGGCAATCTCTGCCCCAAGGAGTTTACAACCTAGGTTAAATGTGACTTACACAACAATTGACATTAGGCAAAGGGGAATGAGGGAGAGATGTACACAAAACCAAATGATTGTTTCTTGACTTTACAAGGTACATTATATGTGCGGCATGACACTAAGATGTGTTTTTTCTGGCTGATTTTTTTTTTCTAAAAGAAAAATGATTTTTTTCATTCTTTATTTCTCTAAATGTTCTTTCTGGTGAGTTTCTCCTTTTAGGTAGGATTTTTTATATTGTATAGTTATGCACAGTATCTAGTGTATATGCACAGGAATCTAGGACTTGAAAGAAGTAGCCCCAAAGAGTGGGTATATGTCCCAATGCGTGACGAATGAGTCTAGGTTCTGCCATATACCAGGGCTAGTACTTATGTCCTAATATTTTCTTATTCCAGGGCCCAGCTATGTCTTGATACTTGCTGGTTGCGCCTCATATTCAAGCTTGTATGTGGGCTCTTGCTGAGACTGAATTGGATTAATTCAAGAGTCTGTGTTTTACTTGAAAAATCTCTGTTAGCCCTACTTTTTTCACACTACCAGTTTTTTCCAAAACATCAGGATTTAATAGCTATTGTATTAGCTCTTTAGGGATGTTAATTACCCCTAATAATTCCTCTTGCCCCTCACATATGTTAGCTGCAAATGTTTTTAATATATGTAAAGCTTGTGGGCTTTCAGCAAGGTTGCTGATTTTGTTATAGTTTACTTATGGGGTATAATAATATGTTATCAATAAAGCACTGTGAGAGTTTGCAGGGCGCTTCAGAAATGTAGAACAGACAAATTCCTTGTGAGTTCTTTCCTTATGATCTAACAATAGATATAATGGGATACAATTACAAGTATCGAATGGCGGGGAGGCATCTTGAGTGATGAGATGAAAGTTTGAAGCCTTTGTAAATGTAGAGGGATTTGGAGGAGGAGAGGGAGAACACTTCATGCCTACAGGAAATGGGAGGCTGTTCCAAATATAGGTGGTGACATGAACAAAAGGAGCCATTAGGAGGGAGGACTGGGCACAAATAGGAGGAAAAGGAAAGAAGAGCTGTAGGTGGGGACAAGGACCCTGCTTTTGCTCCCTTCGAAGTCAGTCACATAACTTCCATTTTGTGATTTCACTGGTGCTGGATCAGGCCTAAAGTTAGTGAGTGTTGAAAGTGAGGAAGAGGCATTTGAACCTGAAGCTTGAATGTTTGGAAATGACTGACTGAACAGAAATGTTTGAAGTCTCTGTCGAGTAAATATTTCTAGTTTTCCTGTAAATGTTGTAATTTCAAAAATCAAAAGTTAAATTAAAAAAAAGAGAGATCATAACTTTGTGGGAATACGACCAAAGCTGTGGGCACATGTCTCTGCCAAAGCACTGCTAAGGGTTTGTTTATTACAGGGCACGTAAGAATTTGTAATAATAATAAAAAAACCCCTACCCTCTGCATAGATTGACAATATTAAAAGAACATCAAAACATGCTACAGAAAATAAAAGTTCTGTGACCCTAAAATTTTGACAAGTGGCCATTTCAGTAACTGTGAGCATAGATAATATGCTCCTCTTCCACAGTGTTTCAGGGATCTGCTTGGGTAGTCAGATTGTTTATCTAAAATCTGTGGATTGCACATGACCAAAATGTGAATGAATTCTTATCTTTTTACTAAAGAAGATCCGAAGAAGTGGGTTGTAGCCCACGAAAGCTTATGCTCTAATAAATTTGTTAGTCTCTAAGGTGCCACAAGTACTCCTGTTCTTCTTGCGGATACAGACTAACACGGCTGCTACTCTGAAACCTATCTTTTTACTAGCCATCCAGTTATTATGTTACAGGTTTTTATAAATTAGAGTTAGCAATGCTCTGCATTGGGTCATAGTGGTAGAGTTTTTTGGGTCATAGTGGTAGAGTTTTTTGAATATTTGTAGCATTTACAAGAGATTGCATATTTTTAATGCATGTTATGGGATAGTTATAAAACTGAGATTATCATCCGCATTTTGGAACTGTGGGATCCTCCTTCCATTCAAGTCAGTGGAAAAATTCCCATTGACTTGAAAGGTGCAGGATCAAGCTCTAAGTTTCTATCATATCATTTCAATCAATTTTGAATTATAAATGATCAGCAAGATTAAAAAGTGTTTTTAATCATTGTGCTATTTTGAAGTCAAACCATGTGTTAGATGTTTTCAGTAAAGAACATATTTACCATTTACTTTTCCAAATTTACTGTCTAGGTTCATGGTAGAGTTAAGGTTTCTCCATGTTTTGCAAACTTCAGTAAAGCACTGATGTGCAGTTAAGCAATATGATTCAGCAGATAAAATATAATGATATGTTAATTCGTGCTGCTTGGGAGTGTGGGAGGAGAGTGTCATGGTAAGGAAATCCCTCATTTTTTTTTCTGCAGTCTTTGTATGTATATGTGTTTTTTATAATAATTTTTTATATTTTCATAATTCAAAGTGTGTTACAAATGTAGAGACATACAATCTTTAGCGTGAGCCTAATACCTTTATTTATGTGAGTAGGGCCTTCAGGATTTGGCCCTATAAGGACTTTGTTGAAATGCAGACATCTTTGGAGTGGATTGTGGCAATTATTTAACAGTGGTCAGAAACACTGCATAACAAGAAGAGAGAAATAATACTGTATTCCAAATGAAATAGCAGGAAGAATTTAGGTAGGAAGTGCATACTTACTCAAATCAGAATTTTGCACTCTCGTCCTTGTGAAAAGTGCTATGGACTCCTCAGTGAACAAAAATAGGTCCTTGATACTATAACACATCTGAAAGATGTCACTTTCAACAGCATCAGTTTTGGTGTTAAAAAGACACTATCAGGCACCTCTAGTGTATTAATAAAAGCCCTACTCTTCAAAAAGTGTTTGAATGAATCAACACACTTCACACTTTGATGGGTTATCAGTTCATTACTGACCCAGAGAAGAGTGCCTCCTGGTGCATCAACATCACATCCTGCAGCACTGAATTCTTTGGAGGTCTTTCTTCCATGTGCTGACTACTTCCTAACCGTGCTGTGTTTTAAAAATCTAATGATAGATCAATGAGGTGTGGCTGAAGGCATTTTTCATTGAGTTCAATATTTAAGTAGAGCAGAGAATGTGAATGGGGAAAATCAGTTATCAACCAGATTGATGTAGAAATGGAATGGTCTTCCATATGAAAGCCTTTCTTTGAAGCCTTATGTGTTGCTGGGATCCAGTTATTTAAGAGGCTGCCATCTTTCCTATCTCATATTACAACAGTTGAGGTCTCTGGCCTCAAGCATTTGTGTTTCTGAGGTTGATGGAAGGACATTCTCAGTAGAGGGTCTTGGCCTGTGGAACTTGTTTTCCTTGACTGTACATCAGAGCCCAAGGTTGGTGAGCTTCAGATCATACTATAAGGCTTTTTATTTAGTCAATATTTTTATTATTTAATTTGTTTTGGTTAGTTAGAGGTCTTGGACCAGGCAGAGTTTTAAGAGCAGAACTATATGGACTAGGTTTGAGCTCTGTATAATTTTCTTCTAGGTGCTACATAATCATATAAATAAAATATGGATGCTATACATATAGTCTATTTTGTGTTTTCTGCAATGAGATTCAATGGAAAATTCTCCTCTTGTAATCCCTTGGTAGTAATCAGTTTTGGTATTTTGATGTTTTTGCCTGTCCAAATTTCTCATTGATCCCTGGATCTCTGACATCAGTCTTCCTTTACAATCATTTAAATTCCTAAATAAGAATGTGCATACAGCAGTGGTAAAAAATAATGATGTACTTTCTGGAGCAGATGCTGGCAACATGCAAGTTCTATATAGAGCTTTAGTAGGATGTTCATGGATTTGTTGCCGTGATTCCTGACCAACAATGTTACTTTATTTTCTGTGTTTAGCAAACCGACTGTGATGTGTTTTGGTAGTTCCTTTTTCATATGGGTATTTCCCTTTTTAATGTAAATGCACATTTACATTTTAAAGTTTTTCAGTATATCATTTTGGAATGTACTGTGAAATAATGACTCCCCTATTGCAATAGTGTTTCCCTTAACCCTTTAATCTCCAGGCATTATATCAGTTGAAGTGAGAGGTTCTGCTTCAGGTACTAGAGGAAAAATTGCATTCCATCATTCACATACATTTCTTTTAACCTGTATTTGATTGGTTTAGGATAAAGTCTGACAGGCCTGATGGCTTTTGTTGATGGACAGATACTATTATGAAAAATTGCTTGCGGCTCCAGCCCCACCAGGGGGTGCTGAGGCTTGGGGTTTCAGTCCCGTGGGGGATGGTGAGCTGGCGCTTGCAGCTTCAGTCCTGCTGGGGGTGCGCGGAGGCTCAGGGTTTCATCGCGTAGCGGGGTGAGCCGGAGCTCGAGGCTTCAGCCCCGCAGAGGCAGGGGCGCTGAT